CCTTATTTCACTCTTTTGTTCAAAGCCCTACTTTCCTCTTAGCTCTGCTTTTAAGAAAACACAATTTCGAACTGGATATTATATGGATGACGTAGTTTTGTCATTTCAGCTGAACACATTCATCCTTTTCTTCACGCTGCATTTCCTCCGATCGTCGCTGTCCATAGTCATTCCTTCTTTTGGGAGTCCTTCTATATAAGTGCATCTAAAGTCTGTGCAAGTAAGTTTTTTTAAGAACTACTACAAAAAGTGTAGTGTAAAAGCTGAATAAGATTTCCTATTCTATCCGCCCTTTGCTGCTGGTAGGTTTCTGACTGAAAAGGATTAAGGAGAGAAAAGGAGTTCAAGAGTACCACCTCCAAGCAACCTCTCAAACCTAATACGCTTTGAAGTATAGTCCCATTTATCCAGTAAATCACTGGCATGCCTAATTCTGTACTTATTGTTAGGAAGGAGTATAGATGCTACTGCCAAGTTGATCTCCACTAGAATCATGTTGGAATTTGCACAAAAAGTATAGCAAACATATCAAAACAGGATAATTAAACTTCAGCTATTATCTTGAAAACATAAAATCTACTCTGAGCTTTTTGTTAATTTGATATAGTGCCTCACGTTGAAATATTATTTAGCATATGCTTGGTAACTTCAAATTACAAGAAAAACTATTGAAAACTCAAGCAAAGATTATTTGCTATGGCCTAATCGCATAATATGACCAACCTACTTTGAATAAAAAAATATGAAAACATTTATCATACCGAAGATTTGAAATCCTCAACAAAAAACGTGGATTTTAAATTTGAAATAAGCCTCTTCATAGAACATAGTGACATACTCCCTTGGTAGATTTTTTCCTTTTAATTGTGTTTTTGTAAGGCAGGTCTTCTGTCAAAATTCATAAAGGTTTTCTTGGAAATATGACTGTCAAAAAAAGCCGTTGCCAAATGGAAAATAGAAAAATACTCATGTTATGAACCAAAGCTTACAATTTTATTTGCCAGTTTACCGTCTTCCCCCTCGGGTTGAGGTATCAGCGATTCCACGATGATCACTTGTTCCTCGTGAACAGGCGCACACGTCGCGGTTGACAAATGTACTTCTCTTTGATGTGTGAGCGCCACCGCTATGTAATTGCGAGGCTCATTTGTCCATCATCACTTACAAGAGATTGGGATGAGAATGTAATGGGATCAAAAAAGAAAAAAATGATTCTAATTACAACATAACAACTGTGAATTTTTCTTATAGCGTGCTTCTCAAGTCTTTCATCTTTTCATTATAATGGTGGATATAGTGATCAAAGTAATCCGCTATATGTTAAAGCTGGAAGCTGCTAATTCTGACCAATAAGTGAAAGCTTGCTCTGTAGTTAATTCCTTCGCTATAAAAATGATTATTATAATTAAAGGAGAGGACCAGTCTATCTTATTAAGGTTTAGATTACCGGCCTTTTACTCACCACGTTGCATAAACAAGGCGGCGCCTGCACTAGAAATTCGTTCTTGGCGTGCTTTTTTCATGCAAATTGATCGGTTAATGCGAGCGCAAGCGCGCGTCATCCTACTTTCCCAAGTGTCAGCTTCGTCAGACTATATAAGGTTCCTTTTTTCCCTTCTAAATTTTTCCGTACTATATTAGTTTGAGGCCATTGAGTTATCTTTTGTTGAATTGATTCCAGTAAGGGAAGAAAGGAAATTGATAGTGGTAGTTCAAGTTCAATACATTCAGTCTAGGGCTTGCCATAGTATGCCCCTCCAAAACCTCAGTAGTGTAAGCAAGATATAATTAAAATGTTTAAGAGATCATTGTACAAGTGCTAAGCTACCCAAAAGACCACTTCAAATTTCTGACCATCGTAGCCCTCTGCTCTATGTCGTCTCTAATTCTACTGTGAGCGAGGAAGTCCTGTGCAATCCCTCGAATGTTTCTCCCAGACAAAGTGCCGCCGCATCGTTTTCACTACAGACAAATGGAGACAAATGAGGAACAGCACCGCCGTGTCAGCGGAATAGAATATACAAACACCGATGTCGGTCTTCAGCTCAGCCTCGACAACTGTTGGCACTCATAAAATTGCACCACAACCAATATCACCCCGAACATCAATTCAGCAATAATGTGCAAATCATCACACAACACATGTACTTCACTCAAAAGTGGATACGGTGCTTTGCCTAGATAAACGAGTCAGAGACGGAGATATAGCGATATGTGATATTACACTAAGAACATAGCGTTTTTTTTCTGTGCAGTTTGCTTACATGCCGAAGAGGCAGCTGAGTGGCCGAAAACTCATAAAGGCGTCATGTTGAGATAGTTTGAGGTACTGTTCCCACATTTTGTATGCAATAGCCGTCAAATCCCATTGCCAGCATATGGGGATGAGATCAAAACGAAGAGTCCAGATGTTATACAGCAACTTTCACGTTAAGGCACTCTAGGTCGAAAGGAAAGTTTTTGGGACTTATTTTTAAAAGCGGCGATTCTCATCTCTAGTTGAATGCCACTAGCAAAATTTTTTCAATTTCATAAATAGTCAAGTTTCGAACGTCAAATTAGTGCACATTCATTGAAGCATATAAATGACACCTTTACTGTTCCCAATAATGCTTTCTACGAAGTTATGAATATTGTTGGAAAAAATGCGCTACCTCTATTTTGTCACCTCCTCCTCTTTGCTGGAAACGTTTCCTTCGAAGGTTTGCAATATAGATTGTGATCACTGACTATTTGCATGTCCGACTTTTTCTGAACAACTGATTTACTCTCCACTATGGAAAATTATTTTACTCATAGTACTGACATGGTAATGTGTATAAGCATCTTTTGAAAGAAAATCCTTCAGCTTGGTTTTGCATCCAGAAGTGAAAATTCAAGGAAAACAAAGCATAAAAGTCTTAACACGTGGTTCACCTTAGATAAGGCAAGGTTTACTTGAGAGCTGGCTACAATCTTAATGCAAGAGTCTGAAAAATAGCCGCATATACGAAAGTATTATCGCTGGTAGTTATAGTCTCCTAATCTCGTAATAAATTCACTACAATCGCTGCGATATACGCATTTGAGCTTGTGGAATTAAATTTGCCAAAGATTATGTATACTCACGTCTTCACTTTTCGACGAATTCAGGTAGTATAACACTGCTTTTTCTCATTTATTTGATCCTTCATTTCCTAATTGGTAAGCCTCGAGTTTGTCAATGGATAAATAAACAGAAGTGACTCGAAGCTTGATATATACATGTATGGCTCCTATCATTAATTTCTTTAAGGCTGGAAAATTTACAACATAACTCCGGACCTTCACTTTGAGATTCATGATACTCAGAAGCATATG